TTCATTTGATTGCCTTTCTTGGAATGTCTGAAACCACAACCATCAGCCACTATTTTTCTTTATTTTCTGTACAACCATTAAGCTCTGTTTTCCATGCATGGGTATGCTTTGCTACTTAAAATTAAAAATCAATTTAAAAAGGGTGGAAAGGAGGAAAAAAAGATGAGGGCCAGAGAAAGAGATTCCCAGGCTATAATGACTCACATATTTCTCCATTATAAGATTTAGACAGACTTGAAACAAGTGACAGCATAATTAATCAGTCATGCCTGTTCACCTAATTAGTGAATACAAAGAAGGCCAAACACACAGAATATATACTTATTTTTGCATGGTTAATCTAGTTTTAAAAATTGGGAGGGTATCAAATGAAATCCTATTAGGATAAAATATCAGAGTGGTTGGCATCTAGACACTTTCATAGAAAGCAATAACTGCCTCTTGTGTAGGTTTAAACCTTGAGAACTTTTAACTGGGTCACCAATTTTCATACAGCAGTGTGTATTTTGGATCCCTACTCTGCCAGATGTATTAAAAACTGAAGTACTAGCATAGTGTTTAGGATTAACAAAATCCTGCTACTCGCTGATGATCAAGATGCTGGGTGGAAATTAAATGAACCTCAATAGCTTCCAAACCAGGAAAATCAGCCTTGTTATATAATTTATTCTGCCAATACTCACTGTCTGTAGATTTACAGTGTTAGATGGGATTTGAAGGATTATCTAGAAGTGGCAATATCTCATAGGTTTACATTTCAACATATATGCACAAACTTGTTCTTATCCAACCCCTCTTGTCTTATTTATCTATCTACCTACCTACCTAATTTCCTACTTATACATCAGAAGTTTCTTATCCATGCCCACACCTGGTAATACTGCAGCCTTAGGTGCACTCAATCAACCCACTGGGTCCCCTTCAATATATCTAGCAAGGAAATTCCATACCTCTATGCAGATTCATGCCTGTATTTCCATGCATCTCTCTGCCATTCAGACTGTTTTCATTGTCAATCTTGACAGTGATGAACACCTGCTGTGGGGGAGTGGGGAAAGGAGGCCCACATTCAGTCACTCTAAATCCTATGCATTTCATTCCATTTGCTCAACTACTGTGAAGCTTGTTCTAGTACTGATCTATTGTGTATATTACTTTGTTTGTACATGTCAATTCACCCACTCACAGAAATCTCACTGAGGATGGGGGCCATGTGGAATCATGTCAGTGGGCAGGGGATGGGGGGACGGACAACATTCCTTTCTCTTTTGGGAAGGAAGTTCCAATAAACCAGATCCAATCCTTTATCAGGGGAATGGAGAGTAAGAAATATGTTGCTTATGGAGCTGAAGAAGAAACTGATTGTCATAGCCTTCCCTTGTTCCACAAGAGGCTTAGCCAGTGAGGAGGGCTTCCAAGCATTATTTTTAGTGTCTCTCCTGAGATTTTCTCCTGTGTGTTTCTTCTCTTTCTTCTTGATCATTCTCCGTCAATTAAGGAGAAGAGAAATGGCATTTGAAAATGATCAAATGCCACAACTGCTGCTTGTATTTTGTTAGCTAAAAAGTGGAAAACTCAAGAATTACCAATGATAGAAGAATGGCAGATGAAGATGATGGATTTTTCGGAGCTAGCCAACCTAACTGGAAGAGTCTGCGACCAGAAGGAGGAGGACTATCAAGAAGAGTGCATCAAATTTAATGATTATTTAGTTAAATATGTTAAGTTAAATTAACTGAAAACAGCTTGCAGATACTTAATTGGCTTAGGATTTTATCTATGTTAAGTGATGAATTAATATGTTTAATTTCATAAAGTGAAGATTTAAGGATGTTAATGTTTAAGTTAAATTTTATAAGAATTGCGATTTGGGAAACCGTTAAAAGGATATGCAATGAAATTCAACCAAGGGGAAGCGGGGAAGTCACTTATCAAAGTTAATAAGTGTAATTTTCAATAAGGCTATGATTTATGTTTGTTTGTCTTATGTGTTTGTTTGTTTATAATATTGTGAAAACCAATAAAAAAAATTGGGGGGAAAAATGAAAATGATCAAAGGGAACATTTTGATGAACTTATGGGTGTGGTGTGTGTGCGTTTTACTTACCTTACCTTTGAGGTGGCTGAGGGGTGTTTGTGGGTACCCTTCATTCCACAAATCAGCTCATCTGTGGTCTTCACTCTGCAGCCTTGCCAGGAGTCCATGCTTCAATCAAAGCCCAGGGGAAGTTATCACTAGGTAACTCCTCACATTGAGATTTTTCAGATCACAGAGTGCAGGCAGCCAGGAAGGCTGCAAGTGCTGGGGAAAGGTTTACTGGGAACAAAACATAATACATATAATCCTCAGCCACCACACAAAAATAAGGCGAGCTTAAAACCTCACACCTGCAGAAGTTCTAAAGTGGCCTGGGAATTAACTAAAAAAATTTAAAAAATTAAGCCTGTTTCTCCAAGGAAGAAAACTTTCAAGAAACTGTAGGACAGATTTTGGCACAGCACTATTCAGCATAGCAGAAAGCAAACTCAGTGTTAATGAGTCTCCACATAGGACCCCACCTTTAAAAGAGCAGGTGTAGTGTATCATCACTTCTCAGGAAAGGTGTTCATGTATATATGTTGCCGGTGAACACCAGTTAGCCCAGAACACTTAAATATGTTCTAATTTCACCTTCATTTTGAGACAAGGGTTTTATTCATTGGCCTGTTCTACTAGATAAAAATGGTTGATGGGGTTGTAACCATTTGGAGAAATCATCTATTTAGACAAATTATCCTTGGTGAGATATGCATATGAGAACCCTCCTGGTTCAGAAGGTAGCTGAGGTTAGAAATGAATGAATCTTGGTTTCAGTGTCTGTATCTTTCTCATTCTTTCCAGACTTAAGTTCAGCTTTCCAGACTTAAGTTCAGCTTGCAACAATTTCACATCAGTTTGCTTTTAAAAATAAAAGATAAAAAAGTTCTCGTGAAATATACAAATTTTTGTATGCAATTTTGCCTAATGTACACATGTTGGCATACATTTCCCCCCTTTACTGTTATTTTCCTAACATCATTTCCCCTGATTTATGAATCTTTAGGTGTACTTCCCCCAATACATTCATTTTTGTATACATTTGTTGCCTGGAGAATTGCATTGCAAAATTCGGAGAAGTGCAAATTTCAAAGGGTAGTTGCATTTTGGTTCACATGTGGTTTTGGGAAATGCGAATTCCCATTAGGTTCACATAGAAATGTGAATGGAACCAATTTCTCCCCCATTCTTAGCCTAGTGATAGAAAGTTATACTAGCCTATCTGGTTAGTCTTTTTTCAAAAAAAAATATATCAGTGTTACAGTTCACATATCATGATCACAGTAATACCCCCATCAGATGTGATTAAAGTGCAACTGCCTAAAACCCAACCATCAGCATGTGGTGTCCACTCCAATTAGCAATAGCTGATGCTTCTGCCTTCCAGTGGAGAGAAATGAGTTTGTGTGTGGGTCTTTTGTTGAAACACCCAGACAAAAACCAGACAGCTTCAGCCAGCAGATCTATACAAAGATTAGACCCTCAGTAGTAAATCCAGCTTAGAAAGACCCAAGTTTGGATAGCATCTCTGTGTACATTACCAAGGTATTTTCCCGCAGTGCCTCTTTAGGTTTGTATTGTTAAGAGTAAACATGGGCTATCATCTGCCTGAGAAAAGCGGGACTTTGATGACTGATCAAATGGAACCAGCAGCTCTTGATGTTACTGGTGCCACATATCAATTTAGCTCTGTAATATTAAAATCAGCTCCTAAATGCACTCAAAGGGACACCATCGATTTCCTGTAAAACTTGTAATTTTCCTTTTAAAAAAGTTTATCATTATTCCTAAAACCCAGTCCCTTTGAATTATGTTGAATTATGTTATTTTATCCTGAGTAGGTCAGGATGATCAAGACTGGCCTAAAATAGGTATCTTTTTGAATCTGATCTCCTAGTAAATATCAGAATTGATTGTTTCATTTTTATGTTTTGCACCAGGCAACTAGAAAGCAGTGTGGAACGAAACAACAACAACAACAACGGACTCTCTCCACCCTTTTAGCAAACTCTACAGCATGACCATAGGGACACGGGTGGCGCTGTGGGTTAAACCACAGAGCCTAGGACTTGCCGATCAGAAGGTCGGCGGTTCAAATCCCCACGACAGGGTGAGCTCCCATTGCTCGGTCCCTGCTCCTGCCAACCTAGCAGTTCGAAAGCACGTCAAAGTGCAAGTAGATAAATAGGTACCGCTCTGGCGTGAAGGTAAACGGCGTTTCCGTGTGCTGCTCTGGTTCACCAGAAGTGGCTTAGTCATGCTGGCCACATGACCCGGAAGCTGTACGCTGGCTCCCTCGGCCAATAAAGTGAGATGAGCGCCGCAACCCCAGAGTCAGTCATGACTGGACCTAATGGTCAGGGGTCCCTTTACCTTTACCTTACAGCATGACCATAGCCAGGGAAGATGAAAGGTGCATTGCAGCACCATTGGGAGGGCACCACATTGCCTATTCCTGAGTTACAGGCCCCATACTATTCTCCAACACCTCAAAAAGAATGAATATGCAGTTAAGAGATCACTGGTTTAACATTGGGAATTACAATTATGTCTTTAAAACTGTAAAAGCATGATGGGTGGAATTTGGAAAGGGAAAAAACACCTATTTCCTTCCATGTATATAAGCCTTGGCATCCACTGTGAAGCATGGACAACTGTCTATATGTCTTCAGGATCTCATCTGCATAGACCAGGGGTCTGAAACCTTTAAGACAAAAAGAGCCACTTGGACCCGTTTCCGAAGAAAAACAACAACTGGGAGCCGCAAAACCACTGCGACATTTAAAACAAATATAACACTGCATATATTGTTTCTTACCTTAATGCTATATATACAGGATCGTGCAGTCAGCTGTCAATCTCAAGAAAAAAAGGACAAATTAATAGCTAATTAAAATATTTAATTTACAACCAGGTAACCAGGTTAATGGGACTTTTGCTCCTGAACCTCAGTGCTCAGTGTCTGCAAATCAGGGCTGTAAGACGTCACCTTCATTTTCACACAGGCTTGCAAGCTGTCATCTGTGAGGCATGATCGATGTTTGTTTTTAATATAGTTCATGTTGGAGAAGACCTGCTCACATACATATGTGGAACCGAAGATCGACAGGACTCCAAATGCATACTTTTTCATGTTTATATAAGTGTTGGGGATGGCATTCCATGTTTCGAATACAAGTTTGTCCTGTTTGGGAAGGTTTTCAATATCACTCCATTTATGATTCTGAGCCAGAATGGCCTTCTGACGGGCAACATCCTCAAGAGTAGTGGTCAAGCATTTGAACTTGGACACCCATATATCTTTGTCGGCTATATCGGCCAGTTCCAGCTCAAGATCAGGTTGACTTACACCTGGAAATGCAGTCATATTCAATAGGGATGGATCGATCGCCAGGGGAGTGACAGGGAAGGATAATGTGTTTTTTTCCTCTCTGAACCCACAGAATCGTTTCCCAAACGAGCTTTGCATTGCGGTGATTGCAGACTTGAAATATTCCAAATTTATCGTATCATGACTTTGTTTGAACTCTCTCAAAGAGGGAAAGTGAGACAGTGTACCTCTCTGGAAATCTTTGACAAACACTGTCAACTTGCGCTCGAATGCCAAAACCTCCTCCAGCATGTGCAGGGCTGTGGCTCCTTTCCCCTGAAGGGTTGTATTTAGCGTGTTTAGATGGGCTGTCATGTCTACCATAAAATGTAATTTTTCCAGCCACTCTGGCTGTTCCAGCTCAGCAAAGGTAAGCTCTTTGCTGGCCAGGAAGGTTTACTTCTTCCAAACATGTGACAAAGCGTTTTAGCACCTCGCCTCTGGACAACCACCGGACCTTGTTGTGGAGCAGGAGGTCAGAATATGTGCTTTCCACCTCATCCGATAGCAAATGAAACTGGCGGTGGTTTAAACCCTTTGCCATTATCTTATTAACAATCTGAATGACCACATCCATCACTTTTGTGCATTCGGGGGGAAATGTTTGAGCACACAATGCCTCTTGGTGCAGGATGCAATGAAATGACAGCAGCGTTCTACCCAGTGCCTTCTGCAGTAGAGCCACAAAGCCCTTCTGTGCTCCTCTCATGCTCGGTGCCCCATCAGTAGCCACTGAGACCAGGTGGTTGGTGTTTATTTTTTAGCACTTAAAAGTCCAGGACAGCCTTACAGATATCCTCACCCCTTGTTTGGTCTTTTAGTGGTATCAGCTCAATCAGTTCTTCCTGTGGCCCAAAAGAGTTCACATATCGGCAGAACAGCGCTATTTGTTCAATATCACCTTTATCTTTGGACTCATCACAGGCGATGGAGTATGCCACAGCTGAATTAATGTCTTGAATTTGCTGTTTGCTAATGTTTTCTGCCATTTTTAGGGTTCTGTCTTTAACAGTCTTCGCAGACAGAGGCATGTCTTTGATTTTCTGCACAATTTCATTCTTGTTTTTGAAGTCCATGTATAGATGTTCCGAAATCTTAATGAATGCTTCTTTTATATACTCTCCATCTGGGAATGGCTTCCCGTGCTTGACTATTTCCTGAGCAGCTACAAAACTAGCATATGTTGTGGAATTTGCAGACTTCACCCAATTCTTGAAATTATTTTTGCTCCTATCAACCTTCCTCATAAGTTCTGCAACGGCTTTTCGTCTCTCATCTCCATCTGGATATTTTTCAGCAAAGGCTGTGTGTTTATTCTGGAAATGTCTTGCAATATTTGACTTTTTGTTGTTTGCAAATTTCTCACCACATATTAAGCATACTGGTAAACCAGTCTTGTCAGTAGAGAATGCAAATGATTCTGTCCATGTATCATTAAACATTCTGTTTTCTTCAGAAATTTTTCTTTTCTTGCCTTTATCCATGGCTGGCCTACCGGGGGTCCAAAACAGGGACGTAATTAGAAATCAGAGGGCCCCATAGCAAAATTTGCTATGCCCAATAATCAATGCCCCAAAATGCCATAAAAAATTAATCAGGGCCCCAGTGTACCATAAATCATAATCAGTGTCTGATGTAAATAATAATTAATAATGAGGGCCCAATGCCATCCTCGTCATTATAAAAATACCTTTTTTATTATTTCTTTGTTTGACCCCTCAGAATTACTCCTCCTCATAGAAATAAACGTTAAATTAACAAGTTACCTTTTTGTGTGTGTGTGTTCTTCACTCCCCTTCAAAACAGTGACCAGCGTACATGCCCCCTTTCAATGCAGCCTGCTTACAAAGGCAGGATGACAAAGACTGGCAAGAAGCTGTTGCATAACGTTCCCCAAGGAAAGCGTTAGCTATTCACCAAACTTTCCCCTGCTTAAGTTTAAAAGGGGCTTCAAGCAACTAAAAGGGGCTTCAGGCAACTAACTCCCACGTGGAATTGCCTATAGTAAGATGGCGGCCGCCTCAGAAGACCATGTGGGCAGATAAGATGGCTGCCGGGACGATCTGGTTACCCAGCAACAGCACAGCTGCTTCCGACGCTTTTAGAGCCTCAACCTTCCGCGTTAAAGAAAGCAGCCCGCAAAGCAAGCGTTGGAGCGCCGAAGCCACCTCACCCCCACAAGGAGAATGCTGCGCGTGTGACCAAATAGCGAGGACTTACGTTGCTAGAGACAAGCCCCGACGCTACCACAAGCCTCCCTCTCTTCGCGCCGCCCAGCCTCCCAAGAAACCCCCCCCAGCTTCAAACGGTCACAAAGCACAAATTCCACGCGACCGCGACTTGAAATAAAAGTACCCCACAACCTGATCCGCCAGGCACGCCGAGTCCTCCCCAGGAAAGGTAAAACATGGCGATGAGCTTGCATAGCGCACTGGGCTCTCAGCAGCGAATCGACTTGGATAGGCAGCAAGCAATCCAAACGGAGAGGTTTTCGGCGCGATCAAGGCGCCCCCGGAAGATAAGGGAGTGATCCACTCGTAAGCGGCTTTTTGCGTGTTTTCACCCGGAAAATGCGCCCCCTCGCCTCCGCCCCGGAGCCGTGGCAAAGGTGTTAAAGAGCCGCATGTGGCTCCGGAGCCGCGGGTTGCCGACCCCTGGCATAGACTATAATATTATAAAGAAGGGCTGGAGCTCAGTGATAGAGCATCTGCTTTGTATGCAGAAAGGTTCAATCCCTGGCATCTTCAGGTAGGGCTGGGAGATACCCCTGTTTGAAACCCTGGAAAGCCATTGCCAGCCAGTGTACTGACAGGCCAATGGCCTGATTCGATATAAGACAGTTTCCTCTGTTCTTATGGTCTTTTCCATTTAGCGGCAAGAAAGGGAAAGGGGCTAATCTCTTTGAGACTGTCTGCTTCATCAGCAAAGTCTCTCTTCCTTATCAACACAATTACTTTGGACACTTTGAGGCCAAGCTGGAGATGGATCACCCCATTGTGCTTCCAACTTTTGCAGAGGCAGAGGGCAGCAACTGGGACAAAAACCTAAAGCTATTACTCAGAGCCATAACCTTAAAAGTGAAGCTGCAGATAATAATGGAAGATAAATACATGCTCTGTATGAAAATTGAAAGGCAAAATTCACATTGGGCGAACATTGTGTCAGTAGACCAAAAATGATGGGGGTGGGTGGTCTTCCTTAAGTAACTGATTCCTTCAAACAATTGGGTTGCATTTGTATTATTTTGAAGCAATTTGAATTGTTTCTCACGTTCAACCTTTTGAATTATGGCTTTTTATGGATAACATCCCTCATTTTTGGATGGCAATACTAGGATCCATCACAGGAGGGGGAGAACGGGGCATTGGCATGTAAACCTAGTGGTAAGGAATGTGGTAAGCGTAGGTCAACAGAAAGTTTCAAAAAAACATACCTTTCAGCTAGGCAGGGCTGCTGTAAAGCCTTGTTTTTATAGCTACCCAGAATGCTGTGGAGGAAACTGGAAAAAATTGTGAATTATCACTTAATTGGGCAAGTTTCATCTACTGATGTGTGATGTTGTCTGATCCCCTGTGCAGCTATGTAATGGATACTGCAAAGTTGCTTAATTCTGCTGGGAATTGCAATGATACTTTCTGGCTTCTCGAATATGCTTCTGCTTGCTAAGCTTCTGTACTCCAGTGCTGCTATATCAACTGAGAAACTGACTTTGTCTGCTCTGCCTAGCAGTGTTTGCACCTTAGTGGGACTCTCTGGTCCAAGATCATTCTTGACGGGTTGGGAGTTAATGTTGATAGGCACTATAGGCAAGCAGTCTCCTGCAAATCCCATCACTACATTATTCCCAAGAGACTGGGAGAGACCCCAAAACACTTGGATGTATTATAGGGATGGGTTTTAACTCAGCGATGAGCATTTGAAGGCGCACTCATGTCTGTTCAGAAAGCAGACACAGCGTCCTCAGTGTGGTTTAATTCCAGGTAAGGATGCCTAGGATTGTGGACTCAGCCTGAGAGCAGCCATCGCTGTACTTAATCTGCTTATTGCCATGCGGTTCAGTTTCTGAAAACTGCAGTGCTTACAACACAGGCATGCCTTCAGCTGTATGCATACCATGTCTGGCCAGATGAGGAAGTCAGCATTCTGACTGGGGATGAACTAAGAGAGATGCACTTCATGTTCACAGGGATACACAAATATTTACTAACTAACTAACTAACTAACTAACTAATTTTCTATACCACCCTTCATCTGAGGTTCACAGGGTGATTTGCAATATAAAAACACAAAAATACGTAACATAGTAACAACAACAACAAAAATAACATACACACCACACAGTTCAAAAGGCCATGGATTGTTTAATTAGCCAATAATTGCTACCTATTGCAGTTAGCTAAATTATTTCAGTAAAACTTGAGAGAAAGAAATATTCGTTTTAAGTGTGAGACGTGATGCAAACACAGATCCACCACAAACATTACTTCGTTTAATATGAGAAATCAATCATTTTACAAGGTTGTAATTAATGTGTGCACACATGAAGCTGAAAACTGTGTAGTAGAGTACAAGATGCTTAGTGCAATGATGACGCAGGCCTTTTGCTAATTCCTGGGCAAAACCATATTCTTCCTCATTGTTCTGAAGAGCCAGCCTGCTGCTACGAACTGAAGCACCTAAAAAGGTAGCAAAAGTTGGAGAAAATGCCCATGGTGTTATTAATATTTGTAACCCACTCTGTAACAGCAGTTCCCAGGGCAGGTTACAACAATTGAAATGTCAGAATTAAGAACACACAAAAGAGATTACATTCACAGGAATAGGGTGGGTCCTGAAAACATACATCTGAGGTGTCAAAGGCCAGGTTAAAGAGGTGTGTGTTCAGCATTTGCCAAAAGCTATATAGTGAAGAAGCCAAATGTACTTCTGTGGGGAGTGAATTCCACAACTTAGGGGCTGCCACAGAGAATGCCCAATGCTGAGGGTGGTGGAACTACCAAAAGAGGCCCCTCTGAGGTCTGTAGGGAAGGAGGCCATCTCTCAGATATTTGGGGCCTAAGTCATTTAAAACTTTAAATATTAGAATGAGCACCTTGATTTGGACCTGGAAACAAACTGGCAGTTAATGCAGTTGTTGCATTTTGGACCAGCTGATGTTTCCGGCTCATCTTTAAGCCCTATGTTGAGAACAAACCACTGAAGGTCTCTTCACCATCAGCTTGTTTTAGACTCAGTATGGAGTCCCAACTCTCTGTAATATGTAATATGTACCTATATGCATGACTGGAATTTTTGTCCACGTGTGGTGTGATACAATTTTGCACCTACATGTGAAAAATGAAATAAAATAGCCGCCATCTATTGTGAAGGTAATGTGTGACACACACCTTACTTAAGTGTCCTGTAAAAAACGAGTCACTGTCATTTAACAAAAAACACACTTACTTCTACCGTTAGCAATCCAGTATTGATCGAAAGTAATAGCCATGTATTTTGTTCATACCACGTCTCAATATCTTCTTCACAACCCTGAGGGCAAAAGTGATATTTAAATGAAAGTATAGACGTACCTCAGAAGTCGAATGCCTTGTGAGTCGAACGTTTTGGCTCCCGAAAACTGCAAACCCGGAAGTGTGTGTTCCATTTTGTGAACGCTCTTTGGAATCCGAACATCCGACGCAGCTTCTGATTGGCTACAGGAGTTTCCTGCAACCAATCGGAAGCTGTACCTTGGTTTCCGAACGTTTGGGAAGTCAAACGGACTTCCGGAATGGATTCCATTCAACTTCCAAGGTACGACTGTAACTGTTTATTTCTCAAGTTACACTCAATTATTATCTTTTACCTAGGGCTCAACAATTTTTTGGGGTTGGGGGAAATGCCAAAGAGCAAATGTATTCCGTCACTTACGAGAGGAATGGAGAATGCTCATGTATAGGGTGAGAATGTGTGTGTCCTGCTTGTGGACTTTTCATAGGCATCTTATAGGCTGTCATAGGAAACAGGATGCTGGCTAGAATTAGGTAATCTGCTTTTTATTCTTGGTTAGCAGTTTTCAAATATGAGCCTTCCCAGATACAGAGCATGGATGGGAAAGCTCCAGCCTGTGGGCCTAATTAGGTCCACCAGGGGTCCCAGTTTGGCCAGGGGTTCCAATTTGGCCTGCCCTACACTTGACATCATAAGACATCAGCTTTGGGCATGTACAGCTGCAGCTGTAAAGGAACAATCCATATTATTACAGAAGATTCCAAATACAGCCAGCCCCTGCTGCAAGTAGTGTTTGCTTTCATCAGAAGCAGCAGCTAGCATTCCAAGCACACTGAGATACATAAGAAATATTTCAAATTTTACTGGGAGTGCAGAAACATGCCTTACAATACATTGCACGCTTACCCTAGTATATGTTGCATTTTTCAGTGCATCACAAAACCACTTCTTCATGTTAGATGTTGTGCAAGAACATGGTACTTGATTTGCATGATCTTTATTCTTATTCCATTTCCAGTCTGTGGAATTGTATCGCCCACAACAGTGGAGCTGGAGAAGGAGAAAAGTCCTCAGTGTTATGAGTAATAGAAAGGTAAGTCATGTCAAGTTGCATGATAAAGTAGTAAAGTAAAAAATCAACAATGAAGCCCTGTTGTTAAAAAAGGAGTTTCTTCTTTCAAGTGATGAGAAAATCAGAGCACTGCTATGGGGTTTAATTTCCTATAGATATGAGGAAGGAGAGGAAGAAACAGAGAAAGGTCATGCATGCACCAGAGACTTTGCAGCTCCTGTGTAATCTATGTCTTTTAAATTTTTTCAATCAGCTTATTGGAAGAAAGCAGCTTCCTATAAGCAGGCAGCATAACAGCTAATCTAACTTTAGATTCCCAAAGAATTGCACCGCAGTAATGCTTCAGATTTCTTAGCCAGCTTCAGCTAAAAATTCCATTCAGTAACATACGCCAAATGACCTTTGAAAGGAAGCACTGCAGGGTTTAGGCATTTCATCTGATACAGAAAACAATGTGCTTGTTTGGTCTTCTACCACTATGACTTACCATATGCTGAATATTATTCAAAATAATCCACTGATGTTCCTTTGCAGATAGATGTTTATTACCATAGTTAGAAATAAGCTCATCCATCTGAACTCTCCACAAGTCATTGGCCTGTTTACAAATAGTGTTAATAATTCCATTAGTGTGTCATCATTTTTTCTTCACTTTTAAGAAAATTGCAGTCATCTGCTATGGTCAATCAATGGCATTCTAAAACATTTAAAGTGGAGTCCATTGTTCATTACATACAGTTAAAAAGAGCCTGGGATGGAGCTAGACTGCCATTGATTTCAATGTTTCTAGCTCCTTAGAAGTACCGGTATATACATGCATACTAAGGCTATGTTCAGGAGGAGGAGCTGAGCAAGCAGCACTTCCAATGCAGTCCCCTTGATATCCTTTGCTCTTGACAAAAGGTGATCACACACTGAATACTGAGAGTAGAAGGGACAAAAAAAAATCATCTTTCTTCCATAGGAAGTTCACCTGCTGTTTAGAGAATGAGTGCATAAGAGTGCATCTACACAGGATTCCATTTTATCCCTCACTTATAGACGGACAGTGTTGTATGGGAATATAGATCCATGATACCTATACTCCGAAGTGGGAGTGCTGCTGTGATCTATCTGCTTGGTCTCTTTGGTATGTGCTTCAGGCTGCAACACTTTCTGACTCACTGAAAGTAGGTTGAAAGTCAGTTTGCAGCCTCTCCAAGGAAAGTTCACCACATGGAAGCTCCTCAAGCGACAACACTGAGCCTACAAGTTGCATAGACTCCTGCTGATGGAAAGCCAACTGTGCACAGCACTCAGCACACAGAAGGAATGTGTTTGTCACATGCCAGAACCACAAAAAAATTCAGGTGGTTTTCCGTTGTGGTCAAAGAGCTGAACCCTGCGCAGTGATGCCTGTGCTCATGACTGGCTCATGAGAGACAGGAAGCAAATATACACAGAGCTCAAGCAGCCACCACTTGCCCTCATGATGCTATAAGTCAATGAATATCTAGACAAAGAAGTTTTTGTATGCAGACAGACTTTCAGTTCTACTCATGCTCATTGTATCCTACAGTTCTCAAGGGAAATGAAAATAAACACGAATCGAAGAGCTCAGGCCTGCATGCAGCTGTTCTAGAATGAGAGTTCCAGAGCTTTCACATTTCGGAAATCTCTCCCCCTGCTTTCATCTTGTTGTCTAATGTCTGTATATTTTTCACATCCCCTTTTTAGCCGCTAGTCTGCTTCCCCCCAGGGCAGGCTGTGTCTAGGCTGCTGACACCCTTCCTGCCAGCAAGGAGACTACTGAAAAGAAGAAAGCAAAAAAGGTGGGGGGTTAAAATAAAGTGACCCAGTCTCAAAGTAGCCACCAGGCAAGGGAAACAGAATCAACAAAGTGCATGTGATTTGCCTGTTGAAAGGCCAAAACTTGAGGGCTGTTAAAATACCTATTTAAAAATGGAAACAGATGACACAGCTTTCGGTAAGCCACAGTTTGTGTATATACCCTGTGCGCATACACCATAACAGAAGGGCTAAGCTATTGCACATGTCAGTCTTTATATCTTAACAACAAGCATTCACAAGCAATAGGTACAATCCAGCTAGAGCCAAGCCCCTTTTGGGTTACTGTCCCATTAAAGAGCTTTGCTCATGTCACCAGCCTTCTCTGTGTGTGCATTTGACAGCAAATGCTCAGTAAACCCTGGATACCTTCTACTTGCTTAATATTATTGTGCAAGGAGTTCCAAAACCTAGGTGTGGACACCCCCAAAGGTCCACTGTCATGTAGAAGCCAGGCAAATATCATGTGGTATCCTTAATTAGTACCTCTCCAGCTGAATGAAAAGCTTAGGCTGGCATATATGAGATCCCTCAAGGAAGCTGGTCCCAAGCTATTCAGGGCTTTATTTTCTTACAGCAAGACCTTGATTTTGACTCAGTAGTATATAGGAAGCCAAAGCAGAGGTGTAATACATTGCTGATGAGAAGCCCCGTCAGCAGCTGGTCTGTTGCATTCTGTATGAGTTGTTATTCTGGGTCGCTGTATAATTTGTTGCCAACCATCTGTTTCATTATTTTTTTTAAATGATATTTATTAAAATTTCAGAGAAAAAAAAGAGTTACAGAAAAACAAAAAGTAAAAATACAAGAAAAATACAAAATACAGAATTAAAAAAAAAGACACTTAAAAAGAGAAAAAAGAAAAATGGGTCAATCTTTCCATAGCTTACATTCATATCCTTGTTTCCCTGACCTCCTCATACCTCCCTTTTTTGTATTCCAGTTCAATTAGTTAAGTCAGCAATTTCTTTCCCTCTTTGTTTTCTCATGATCCTTTAACTTAATATACTATAACTTTAAATTTTCATCTATTACATACACCTTTATAGCATTACTGCTTAAACCACCTAAGTTCATTCCAACATCATTCTAACATTCATTAATTTTGCAATATTTCTGTAAATAATCTTTAAATTTCTTCCAATCTTCTTCCACTGACTCTTCTCCCTGGTCTCGGATTCTGCCAGTCATTTCCGCCAATTCCATGTAGTCCATCACCTTCATCTGCCATTCTTCCAGAGTGGGTAGGTCTTGTGTCTTCCAATACTTTGCAATAAGTATTCTTGCTGCTGTTGTGGCATACATGAAGAAAGTTCTGTCCTTCATTGGCACCATTTGGCCGACCATGCCCAGGAGAAAGGCCTCTGGTTTCTTCAGAAAGGTATATTTAAATACCCTTTTCATTTCATTGTAAATCATCTCCCAGAAAGCCTTAATCCTTGGGCACGTCCACCAAAGGTGAAAGAATGTACCTTCGGTTTCTTTACATTTCCAACATTTATTATCAGGCAAATGATAGATTTTTGCAAGCTTGACTGGTGTCATGTACCACCTGTATATCATTTTCATAATATTCTCTCTTAAGGCATTACATGCCGTAAACTTCATACCTGTGGTCCATAACTGTTCCCAGTCAGCCATCATTATGTTATGTCCAACATCTTGCGCCCATTTAATCATGGCAGATTTCACCGTTTCATCCTGAGTATTCCATTTCAACAGCAAGTTATACATCTTTGACAAAATCTTGGTTTTGGGTTCTAACAGTTCTGTTTCCAATTTTGATTTTTCCACCTGGAAGCCAATTTTCTTGTCCAAATTATATGCCTCCATTATCTGATAATAATGAAGCCAGTCTCGCACTTTGTTTTTAATTCTCAAAACTCTGCAATTTCAGTCTATCTCCATCTTGTTCCAAAATTTCCCAATATTTTGGCCATTTGACCTCCATATTGAGCTTTTTCTGAGCTTTCGCTTCCATCGGTGACAGCCACCTTGGGGTTTTGTTTTCCAATAAGTCCTTGTATCTTGTCCAAACATTAAACAATGCTTTCCTGACAATATGATTTTTAAATGCTTTATGTGCTTTGACCTTATCATACCACAGATATGCATGCCATCCAAATACATTGTTAAAACCTTCTAGATCCAAAATGTCTGTGTTTTCAAGAAGCAGCCATTCTTTCAACCAGCAAAAAGCTGCTGATTCATAGTAAAGTTTAAAGTCTGGCAGGGCAAATCCACCTCTTTCCTTTGCATCTGTTAATATTTTAAATTTTATTCTAGGCTTCTTGCCCTGCCAGACAAATCTAGAAATATCTCTCTGCCACCTCTTGAAACAGTCCATTTTGTCCACAATTTGCAATGTTTGAAACAAAAACAACATTCTAGGCAATACATTCATTTTTATCGCAGCAATATGACCCAGCAGTGAAAGCTTCAAATTTGACCAAATTTCTAAATCTTTTTTCACTTCAGCCCAACATTTTTCATAGTTGTCTTTAAATAAATTCCCATTTTTTGCTGTCATGTTAATCCCCAGGTATTTAACTTACTTAGCCACTGTTAAACCTGTCTCATTCTGAAACCTCTCTCTCTCAATTGGTGTTAAGTTTTTCTCTAAAACCTTGGTTTTTAACTTATTCAATTTAAATCCTGCAACCTGACCAAATTCTTGAATTGGTACTAGATTCTGGCTCCTGTAACGTCAATACTAAGTCATCTGCAAATGCTCTCAATTTGTACTGTTTGGCTCCGACATATATACCTTTAACCAACTGGTCCCTTCTAATCATGTTCAACAAAACCTCCAGGACCGATATAAAAAGCAATGGGGAGATTGGGCAACCTTGTCGTGTCCCTTTTTCGCCAACCATCTGTTTCAAGATACAATGGACTGTGCCTCCAGGGATGAAGTCAAACTGATGTGTTAACAGCACTGAAATGGCCTTCCCAGGGCATAAGCCTGGGTAGTGTTATGGAGGTCCTGGGCTGCCCAGATGAGAAGACCTCCTTCTCCACCTCCCTGATGTGGCCCAAAGGAAAGCGGAGCGATATATTTGGCACCAGCATGGCTGCAGGAGTTGCCGGAAGGAGGTGTGCAAGGAACCATCCAACCGGCTTAGGGACTCCACTTCAGATTTGTGTAGGGTTTACTCCTTAGCCTTTTCTTCTCCTGAAGATATCCCAAAAGGCCGTGGAGGTTTAGGATCAGAGTTTTCCTTCTCTTAGATGGGCTACCTTGCTAGGTTGGTGAGCTACATCTGCACACCTTCCGACATTTCTCTAATGAAAATAGGGACGTTCCATTCCATAATGATAATTTTTACTATTTATGCCCCACACATCTTGCCCCAGCCTCTCTGGGCAGCTTCCAACATATATAAAAACATAATAAAACATTAAACATTTTTTAAAAAATCTCCATACAGGATTGCCTTCAGATGGCTCAGGGGTCAGATAGCTCCATACCCTCCAACATTTCTCCAATGAAAACAGGAGAACGTTCTACGGAATAGCGGGACATTCCAGGATCAAATCAGAAACTGAGACAGTTTCTCTAAATCAGGGACATCCCTGAAAAATAGGAACACTTGGAAGGTCTGCATCTGCCCCTCACTTCCCTCTACAACACATGCAGAAACCACCTTCTTGACTACTGTATCCACTCTTAGTTGCATCCATTCAATCCACTGGAGCCTGTCTTTGCATGGAGGAGAAACCTCTAAATCACTAAGGATTTGAGACCCATCGGCTATCCTCACTTGGTTCAGCCAATCAGTCAAAGCCATTCCTGGGGTGTCAAATGCTGACAGCTTCCAGGAGCCACAGGTGAAAGCTGAGTGTAGGGTGGACAAACTAACCAAAGGTGGACAAACTACCCCAAAAGCAGCATGGTGTGTCCCCCAATAGAGATACTATCTCTCCCCTCATACCCCCGTAGGCATATACATATAGACGGTATAAATGGTGCAAATAAATAAATAAGCAATCTTTCTGTTAAGGTTTCTTTTTCAGATACATGCATACTCTTGAGACAAGTAAATGATGTGGAATGCTTGGAATCCCTCTGCATGATCATGTGTAGGATGGTTCCAGGGCACTGTGCACTTGGCCACAATATACTTTTGGGTAAATAATAGGTACATACCATTTCCTTTCCTGTATATAGGACCCCAAGTATTGCCATTTGGATAACAAGGACAAGGACAAGAAGACCCATGTACTGAAAATAAAAACAGACGTATTACTAGGAAAGCTGCAGAAAATGGCATTAATAAGCTCTGTGTGATTAATATAGAGAGGAATTTCAGTTACTAGAAATGTTGGTACCTGCAAGAAGAATTTATGTGTATTATAGGAATGAGTCATCATTGTAAAACATACCAGCTTTATAGCTGAGCACCAGCTGCTGAGTGATGAATTGCGCTATCATGTTAGGAATGTAGAAAGAATATAGGAAGCTGCCTTATAGTGAGTCAACCCCTTGGCCCCTCCAGCTCAGAATTATCTACATCGACTGGTAGTGCATCTCCTGAGAACTTTCCCAGTTCAACATGGAGATGCTGGGAAATGAAGCTGAAACTTTCCACATGCTCTACTACTAAGCTATCGCTTTCCAATTGGAAATTCAAATTTCAAGATACCATATCCTGTGTACATGCTGAGGGATGCATTTTGCCTTTCCCCAAGCATGTATATATTTACAATGCAATGCAATGCAATGACTTCATTTGTCAATGAGTGTGTTCTGAACCCAAATCTTAGCCTGGCAGCAAAGAAAGAGAACCTTATTCTTGACTGAATAAATGTTGTGCAATGAAAAGCAAAGCAGTAGTATGAGCATCTCCATAAGATATCCTAGCACCTTGGTACATACATTCGTTTCTTTACAGAGATTTTGTAAAGTATTAAAAATGCATCCACAAAGGAACAATCTTCCCTTCCAGCTAGAAATCTGGGCAGAGCCTTTGTTTTCTAACCAAGCTGTTTAAAGGTCTTGAATGAAGTTTACCACCACTGAACACCCTTTTGGACACGCATAGTTTCTTGTGTCATTGTTAGACATGTTGTTGTTTTGTAGAGTCCAAGGCATGACCAGATAGATTGAAACAATAAGCTGCTCTTTTGCTAAATGTTTATAATGCAACAATTGTTCAGTTGTTACTCGTTTGTTGCACAGGTTCCAGGTGTTTTCTCTCACATCTGCCTCAGAGAAATCACATTTCTCTAATGCTCAAATGACAATATTGTGTAGAAAATGTAATAAACTGAGGAAGTCATTGTGATTTAGAATGCTTTAACCTAGTTGCATGACTTTAACCTAGTTGCATGACTATTATGGACTATTATGGACACTGAATGGATCCCATTAAATCACAATGACAAGCAATGTAACTTTTTTGTTACCTTTAAGAGCTACGTAGCAGAGACAGATTTAGGGGAGTGTTTTAGCAGTTCAGCTGCACTGGGTGCTGAGTCTCAGGGGTGCCAGGGGGTGCCTCAGCTATTATTTAGAATGGAGTACAAGAAGCAGGGGAAGAATTCTGGCATCACACAGGGCACCACTGAAATTTGAGACCCCAACGTTTGCCACTGTGCATAGCCTGGGGCCTTACCCCTTACCAACACACACATTTGCTGCGATACTCTTCAAAAGCCCTCTTCTGGGTGACCCTGCCTACTTCGTTTAGGAAAGAAGCAAGTGTAAGGGCCTTCTCTGTGGTGGCACCCCATTTTTGAAACTCTCTTCCTTTGAAGGCTCATTGGGCTTCTATGTTACTCTCTTTTTTAATGCCAAAGACATTTTTATCTTCCCCAGATTTTAAATATTTATTTAATTATATGATTAGGATTCTGAATCACTTCTGATTTTACACATACACACACACCATCCTAATCAACAGGGGGGGAAATCATATATACAAAAGATTAAGAACAGTTTCATAATGTAAAAATGATTTTAAATGCAAGATAGACTGGAATCAAAAGCTCCACTTAACAGATTTGATGAGATATAAGATTTTAGTACTGATCTTAGCATCTGACTTCCCTCCCAACAAGTCCAGAATCTACCTGGTGAAGAAGGGACTTGCATTGTAGATGAATATCTGACCAGTTCCAAGACAAAGTGGAAAAAGACTCTGAACAATTTTACTGCCCCCTGTAGTAAGACTTCTGACTTTGCCTTGAGACTTCAGTGGGAGCTATTGTCAAAGTGAAATTGGCAAGCGGCATCTCTAGACATTGCCCTGAGTCTAAACAGTTTTTGCTCCTTTTCTGTACAGTACTCCTCTGCAGACTAAGCACTCAACCTCTCTGTGCTGGAACACTTGAAATACAGTATTCTATTAAGGATATATCCCTGTGTACATGCAGTAAGATCCCATCAATTATTGTGCATTTTGTATCACTCTATCAGCTTTGGGATGCAGAACAATCTCAAAGGTTAAACCACGTCAAGAATTGTTGTGGGGAAAGCTAAGTGTGTGTTGCAAGCAACAACTTTGGGTTAAGGATTTTCACAAGTTATACTTACCACAGCTACTAAACACCTGTTTCCTCGAATGCTTCCTAAGTATCCCAAGAGTCCAATAAAAACAATGATGGATCCTACGGCAAGCAGCATATGAGAAACAGAATCTGCCACTGAATGTCCTCCTGTAGATACTAAAAAATTGTAAAAATGTATTTTGTATTTTTAAATGCTTAATATGTGACACTTAAAACAAGATGTCTATAGCCATAAGTGAATATGTGAAATTGCTTACACGAGACTCTGAAATGGGAAATTGCTTACATAGATTGACCTGTGCAAGAACATCCTTTCCTGATACTGTATTAGGTTATCCATTCTAGAGATATCTATCCTAGTTTGCTGTCTCTGAGAAAATAAATCTTACTTTCATGAATTCCTGGATATATATTTTTTAAAGCCTACACATGTTTACTAATAGTAGTCACACTTGCTGTTGTTGTTTAGTCGTTTAGTAGTGTCCGACTCTTCGTGACCCCATGGACCAGAGCACGCCAGGCACTCCTGTCTTCCACTGCCTCCCGCAGTTTGGTCAAACTCATGTTAGTAGCTTCGAGAACCCTGTCCAACCACTAGTAGTCACACTACTAAACCTACCTGGAGGCAATTTTTGTATAGATGAGGGCAAACAAGCTGAAGTTAACTACAGGCAAGATAATGCTGTGGGTTGGGAGATTCCAGCTCAAGAAAGATTACCGCTATTTCTAGATAGTGCCTGTGATGTTAACATATGAGAGTGCTGGAGTTAAACAAGTTGCCCAATCAGAACCCAGGGGGTGGAGTCAGAGGGACTATAAAACCAGCTCTGGGAGGAGTTCGTTGGGAGTTGGGTGGTTGGTTGGAGTGGGAGTGAATTGGGATAGAGTCTGTGGGTAGGTTGAGTTAGTGTAGCGAAATAAGTTGAGTCAGGAACAGTTAGGAGCTAGGAAGACAAGTAAATATCTGAGAGATGGTTTAGTGAGTAAGAGCAGGTAGCGGAAGTTATAGGTCTGGATAGGCACCCCATGATTGTAATTGACCGATACCGTTTATGAAACCACACGCTTATTAAACTACAATAAATAAACAGAAGTTTATGTTCCAATTTAAACCTGACTGGACTCAGTATTGTACCAGGTAGAGCCTGGGTGGTGGCAGTGAGAAATCAAGTGGTGGCACAGGGATCAATAGATGGTGAAACGTCCGGGGACCCTGTGTGATCGCCACAGTGCCCCCCCCCCAAATTCAATATCTGCAGTTTGGGAATGCTCTTGCATTGGTGCTGGTTGGGGAAGCCCAGGTATGTGTTTTTTCAGCTTTGGTTGGTATACCAACTGCAGCCACAGTGTTTCATTCTCTAATTGCATTCAGAGTGGCACTTTATGTAGGACTGCCTTTAAAGATGGTCCAAACTCCAACTAGTTCAAAATTCAACTGCCAAAGCCCTGAGAGGTAACTATTTCTCTGTGAAGCTGTCAACTCCACCCTGCTATTAGTTACATGATCACTTATCCTAAGATGAAAGAGAAGTAAATCAAGACCATGTCGTCTTGCCAGGCTTCGGAACTGAACTCTCAGTGACCCAATTCATTCTTTGAAGCTGGGAAAAACAAAACAAAAAAGCACCGAGGTTGGACAACTCACTGGTAGTTATCCTATGATGATAACATAAATGTACCCTATACTGTGCAGCAGAGTAGTATGTCAGCAGCCAGTTCATATGATAAAAGTGTATTTGAAGTCGTGACTCATTGCTACACCAAAACCACCATTTTTAAAGGGTTTGAAAACATCAATAAAGTAAGCAAAATTGTGGTCTCTAAAACAAGCCAAACCAAATCTATTAAGATGGAGCCACGATAGGGAATCCGTTAGAGGACAACCATGATACTTACCGAAAAAAGCTGATTATACTGCATATTGTGTAATTGCAATTATCTAATTTTGTAAAAACAATGTTTATATTCCATCTTGCTATAGGGCAAAGTGCAATCAACCACCAGTTGTTGCAATTAACTTACAATATCACACCATCACTCTAAATTAGACGCCAGGTGTAAAAGAGTGAAGTGTATTTTAGAAGTTATGAATTGTGGTGGAACACACACACACAAATGAATGTGCCATCTGGGCATCTATTGCGTTGGGGATGTGCCATTCCAGTCCACTTGAGTTTGATACCTCTGCCCTACCCTGTGTATATTAGCTATAATATAACTAGCTATCAAATAGCCAGAGTTTGTCTTTGGCAGAACTCCCTACTATCAGCCCATTACTACTATTTATTATAGCCCATATAACTGTGTTCTAGATAATACTGACCCTGCAGTAAGAGTCAGTGTACACACTATTGCTACTTTGTGTGAGGCACCATAAATAATACTCTTCTCAATTGCTGCAGTGGCACTGAGAAAATTATCTGGTACTTGTGATGAGTTGAGCCAAATAGCTTGCAATATGAAGTGATATAAAACACCCTCCACACAGTGGCTGCAACATGTGCACCAGTTTGAATTATGTTTTTTTCTTTTCAGAATGACTGAATTGATTTCTACCTAAATGCTGGAAAAGCAAACCGTTCACAATGTTGGATGGTTGGTATATTGAAGCCAATGGGGCTAAGTTAGTATAAATCCAGGTATTACAGCTTTACAATTTTCTAGTTCAAGCCATCTGCTTTCTTTCAAGTTTGTATAATGAAGGGCATCATAACATGACAACAAGACTGATATTTTGATTTCTGGCTTTGTACAGTAAATATTCTAAGGCAATGCTGCCATCTTGTGGGAAGTCAACATTTTAATGGTTAAATAGAATACGCTTTCCTTTAAAGGTTAGAGAAAGTTCTGGGCAGGCACTTATACTTACGCAAAAGTCTGAAAAACCTGTTTCTGTCTAGCGACATCCAAAGACCAAAAGTCACAAGCAGAAGACCTAACACCTGAAAGCAATACATAATGGCTGTTTGTATCTGAATTATGCTACAGAACTTACAGTTAATGTTTAATTCCTGTCTAACAGTACATGAAAATTTCTTACCAAGAAAATTCCATTGAGGATGTTTAAGAAGTATTTTAGTATGAAGAGTTTTTCACTTCTTCTCATTTTGCTCTTCATTTAAATGGCACCTGGAAACAATGGTTGCACACTGTGATATTTATATAAAACTGAAATGCATATTTCACATTAGTTTTAAATGTATATTGCCAGTAAAATGTATCCATGTTTTCTAGCCAGGGCTTTCTCGGCCGCGGCTCCAATCTGGTGGAACGCTCTGTCACAAGAGACTAGGGCCCTCCGGGACCTGACATCTTTCCGCAGGGCCTGCAAGACAGAGCTGTTCCACCAGGCCTTTGGTCAGGGCGCAGCCTGACCCCCTCCTCTGGCAATCTGCACAGAATTTTGCTTAATGGTTGTCATCAATTTGATTTTAATTGATTTTAATTAATTTTATAATGAATGTTTTTAGAATGTTGGATTATTTTGATTGTTGTTAGCCACCCTGAGCCCAGCTTCGGCTGGGGAGGGCGGGATATAAATAAAATTTATTATTATTATTATTATAATAACACAGAAAATATTTAAGGACATAAAGTCTTCTGCAGTCCACTTTTCTGTCTTTCTTACTGACAGGTCGAGCAGAATTAACAGATACACATTTCCCCTGTGTCACTCTCCCAACAAAGGCCACCATACAGGGTGATCAAAGCAGTTTCTGTACCAGAACAAGACCTAAACCTCAACTGAAAATCTAGGCACAGGTCTAGGATTTCCAAGGTTTTTCCTTCTTCCACCACTTTCCTTGGGAAAACCCACATTTTACCACAAAATCAGAGCAAATGGCAACCAGGTTTTCCGGTTATTGCCCCTTGTTCCAAATTAGGAGTAAAATGTGGGTTTTCCCAGGGAAAGCATAGGGCAGGGGTGGGTGGAGGGAACTCTGCTTGGACACTGACCTAGAAATCCTGCACCTGTGCCTAGAAAGCATGTTCTAGGAGCAAATCAGTCCTAGGATTAAATCTTTGTGTAAGCTCTTGCAACATTATAGAGAGTTGGAAGAAAGGAGCAACTTGGTGTAAGAACATATTTGGAATACCAGATTCTTCCAATGAGGATCTTAATGACTTTATTTATTTAATATTACATGCTGTTGGATTGTAAGTGGTTTACAAAATATAAAATAAACATCAAAATATTAAAAAAAAAACACCACCCAACAGGTATTTAAAATATTGAAAAGATTGAAATTCAACAGTAGCCAGAAATGGATAAAACACACATAATTTCTGCATGTCTGGATAGGATTGGCTTAACAAAAATGTTTTAAGCAAATCAAACTGGGTGGATGCATGAATAATTGTGGGTTTTAAAAATGGTATCCTTTTGTATGACACCCAGAGAGCTTGTTCTATAAGACATCTGACAGATATTAGTAATAATTAAAACAAATAGGAAACTTCTGGCACCACTTATCTCATAATACACACAGCACAATATTATTGTCCTCTCACCTCTAAGGAAGCAAACCCACAATATAGTTCTTCGCAGATACTCCAATTTTAATGTTAATTCCAAATGCCACTGTTTAGATCTGCCACACAGTATGCTGTGTTGATAAGGATTTACTTCCTTGTTACTGAGGTTACTATTTACATGTCTTTGTAAAGGATGTTTAGTTTGTTTGACACTTCCATTACACTTAATTTGCTTTCAAGAACCATTCTCTTTCTTTCTCTCCTTTCTACAATTTTAAAAAAACACACTTAGAGACAAGTTAAGGTGCTTACAAATCCAATGATGTGCCCAAACCATAGAAATGGCAAGTTTAGTCACTTGGGCTTAATTTCTACCTCTCGTAAATATATTGAATCCAGAGTCTCCCATAGTGCACTCACTTACAACTTACCTTGCACATGAAGCACAACCTCAAAAAAACACTAGTGAGACTCCTATATAGGGGGAAAGGTAAGAAAACCATGTTTATTGGATTCAGTTCAGTTCTCATATACATAACTTTACACATATTCTCCAAGGCCTCTTAAGAGAGCTTTTTAAAAAATAATAATCAAAAATCAAAATGTTTTATTATTGTACTCTTTGTAAATGTTATCCTAGTCTTCGGAATGTTTTGAAATTGATACTTTGCTGAAATATAATTTAGGAAAAAAACTTATTAACCCATGGGTGATATTACTTAAGAAATATCATGAAGAGTTTGGATTTGATATCCCGCTTTATCACTACGCGAAGGAGTCTCAAAGCGGCTAACATTCTCCTTTCCCTTCCTCCATCACAACAAACACTCTGTGAGGTGAGTGAGGCTGAGAGACTTCAGAGAAGTGTGACTAGCCCAAGGTCACCCAGCAGCTGCATGTGGAGGAGCAGGGAATCGAACCCGGTTCACCAGATTACAAGTCCACTGCTCTTAACCACTATACCACACTGGCTCTCAAGCAAGAGCATTCTGTAATGACAACTAGAATAACCTAATGAAAGGAACAAAAAGGCCTGCCACTCTTTGCCATTTGAACTCTTGGCCATGAAAATCACATAAAACCTCAAAATAAATTATTGCAATTTTATCGAAGTTAGTATTCACCTCTGTGTGAGTGATATTGCATTGTCAGTGACAAAGCCTTCAGTGCCATTTTACAGGTGAAACTCGGAAAATTAGAATATTGTGGGAAAGTTCATTTATTTAACTTAAAAGGTGAAACTAATATATGAGATAGACTCATGACAGGCAAAGTGAGATATGTCAAGCCTTTATTTGTTATAATTGTGATGATCATGGTGTACAGCTGATGAAAACCCCAAATTAACAATCTCAGAAAATTAGAATATTAAATGAAATCAGCAAAACAAGGGCTGCAAATAGAGCAATATTGGACCTCTGACAAGTAGATGCATGCATATGTACTCAGTACTTGGTTTGGGCCCCTTTTGCATCAATTACTGCCTCAATGTGGCGTGGCTTGGATGCTATCAGCCTGTGGCACTGCTGAGGTGTTATGGAAGACCAGGAAGCTTCAATAGCAGCCTTCAGCTCTTCTGCATTGCTCGGTCTCATTTCTCTCATCTTTCTCTTGGCAATGCCCCATAGATTCTCTATGGGGTTCAGGTCAGGCGAGTTTGCTGGCCAATCAAGCACAGTAATCCCATGGGCATTGAACCAGGTTTTGGTACTTTTGGCAGTGTGGGCAGGTGCCAAAGTCCTGCTGGAAAATGAAGTCAGCATCCCCATAAAGCTTGTCTGCGGAAGGAAGCATGAAATGCTCCAAAATCTCCTGGTAGAAGGCTACATTGACCCTGGACTTAATGAAGCACAATGGACCAACACCAGCTGATGACATGGCTCCCCAAATCAACACAGACTGTGGAAACTTCACACCGGATTTCAAGTATCTGGCATTGTGTGCCTCCCCATTCTTCCTCCAGACCCTGGGTCCTTGATTTTCAAATGAGATGCAAAAGTTTCCACAGTCTGTGTCTATCTCATATATTAGTTTCACCTTTTAAGTTGAATTACTGAAATAAATGAACTTTCCCACGATACTCTAATTTTCCGAGTTTCACCTGCATAAGGAGAATTTCTGAAGTGAGGAGACTTGGATTCTTCATGATTTAACACCCTTCCTGATTTGGCTCCCTTCTTAACTCACAGAGGTACTCTCATGCGGCTGAGAGTACTTCATGCTCCCAGAGGTGTCCCATGTCTAGAAACAGAGCTTTTAGCTAAAATTAGAGAAGTGCTTAGCATCATGATGTTTACATGCCTACTAAAATGTAGAATCATAGAATTGTAGAGTTGGAAGGGCCAAAGGGTCGTGCAGGAATCCAGTGCAGGAATCACAGCTACATTCTTCTGATATTTAGTTGGAATCTCCTTTATTGTTATTTGAAGCCAATGGTTCGGGTCCTACTCTCCGGAGCAGAAGAAAACAAGCTTGCTCAACCTTCCATATTAGATATTTAAAGATGGCCATTGTAGCCCCTCTCCATCTCCCCTTATCCAGGCTAAACATACCTAACACCCTCAACTGTTCCTCATATGGCTTGGTTTCCAGACCCTTGAGGGAAAACTAAGGCTGGGGGGCTGGATCCGGCCCAATCGCCTTCTAAATCCGGCCCGCAGACGGTCTAGGAACCAGCATGTTTTTACATGAGTAGAATGTGTGCTTTTATTTAAAATGCATCTCTGGGTTATTTGTGGGGCATAGGAATTTGTTCATATTTTCCCCTTAAAATATAGTCCAGCCCCCCCACAAGGTGTGAGGGACAATGGACCAGCAACCCCCTGCTGAAAAAGTTTGCTGACTGCTGCCCTTGAGCATCTTGGACGCCATCCTCTGCCCACGTCCAGCTTTTCTGTTTTGGTTTGGGGTTTTCCCTGAGGTGTGACTGAGTCACTTGTAAAATATTCATTGTATGCCCATTGAAAGGGTTTGTTTTCAGACTTTGTGGGAAAGTTTTGTTTTGCTGTTAGACTCTGTAGAAATTGATTGCTTTTTCAGGACTTCAAAGTACACTTTTCGTACTTTGCTTCATTGTTACCTTTTTGTACCGCTTCTATGGGCTTCAGGATGCAAATCTTTTACACATTTATTAAAACAAATAAATAGGTTTCATAGCCCTGTATTGCACCACTGCTGCATGTTTGGAGGGAGGAGGTTCCTAAAGGACCAACGAGGCTGCCTAGCATTTTAATTTTTTTCCAGGAGCTGTGTCACGAAGAAAAACAAGCCAAAGCGATGAAGAAAGGTGTCCTTCTCCCTAGGTACAGGCCAGCGTCTTGCCTTTCCACGCCTCCTAAGTGCAGCTGGCTCCTCTGCATCCCCGCGCCCTCCTCCCAGGCCGTTCAAAAACCCCTTGTTTCCTCCTGGGGCTCCGATTACAAGTCAATTAATTTCGAACTTTCTCGGCTTCCGTAGCGTGGACGTCCTCCTGCGCGCTGTTCGCGGTTGTCATGGCTACACTTCCTGTAACATTGATGTTAGCAGCTCTAAGCTCTCGGGTTCTGAAGCAGGTCAGTGCTCAGCGGCGGGGGGAAGCGGGAGGGATCAAGCGGTCTTCGACGCCGAGAGCAGGGACGGATCCCCTCTCCTGACAAGACAGCCGGGGAGGAACCCGTTTCGATCGCTAAGATAGAGCGGGGCGGCCGTTGAGCGAGGGCGATGCATAGAACTACAACTCCCAGCGTGCAACGGAGCGCTGCCCGCTCAAGGCTTAATGCTTTGCTTACCCCAATGCACTCTGGGACCTGTAGTCCAAGTGCTCTGAGGGCTTGGCGGGCACGTGTCGCTTGTAAGCTTGAGGCTCTGGCTGCTGTCTATTTCTTTCATTTTAACGACTTAAGTTGCTTCTCTTTGGAGCCAAGACGTGCCAAGTGTCACTCCGTTGCATTAGTACACAGTGAGTGTGCCTCAAACTTGGATATATCCTAAGAGTTGTGTGTATTGGGTAGATTTATTATTTGACGGTGGGTATAACGTTCTGATTTTTTAAGGGAGTAACCTGTCATTTCTCTTTTATTTCTCTGCAAAATGCCACATTACTTCATTAAGGCCATGTAGATAAACAACTAATAATTGCCATTAAGTGTAAATTGTCCCTGGTAAAAGATTAAGGACAGTTAACCCACAAGTGGGTTGTGGTTTTGTTTTGTTTTTAAACCGTCTCCCTATTACTATATATATATATATATATATAGCAATCCCTGAGTGTATATAAATAAATAAAAGCAGGCACATTGTATCCCCATTTTTATTGCCCTTGCAAAGTGTTGCTTTTGAAAAGTGGTTGGCCAACAGAAATACATTAGGTACAATTGTTATCAAGCCACAATGGTCTTTATGCATGGGACAAGGAAATGAACCAGTCAGGAGGCAGCACAGTTAATGACAGTGACAACAACTAGACAAAGGTAGGCAATGTAATGTCTCCACAACTTAAACCTCAGCAACTGCGTACCTGGCCCTTTCCTCATACTGTCAAGATCACTAGTTGTACCTCCACCTTTACTTGAGATGGATAGCATGCCATATTATTTTAGAATGGTCTTAAACAACAACATAATGTTAACCGTAGAACTAACAGTTCAGCAGCACATGCATTTCTTTTCTTTTTGCCTTTTCCATGTTACAGTAAAAGGAATGGAGGAAGATGATGGTGATCGACAAATTGAAGAAGAAATAGAACTTGAATTAAGCAAAATCAGTTTTTCATCCTCTGAAATAGATGATCCTGATCTTGATCCTGATTTATCAGCAGAAGCTTCAAGTGACAGCGAACCAGTAAGTATTCCACAGGACTTGGTGACATACGGTGATCTTTCTGCATACTTGACAAACTTGGCATATACAGTATGCAGAGTTTTGGCAGATATATTTACTAGTTTGGTTGATAATATATGCCATGGAGGGTACCATGTGGATGGCTTGTTTATTAGTATCCCAGACCCTAAAGAAACTTGCATATAAGTTCTACAGTAACATATTATAACATAAATGTAGTCCCCCTGTTTGTAACCAGCATCTAATTCTCAGAGGGACTCCATCAGAGGGCTAAAGGTTTTCCACTGCTGCCCTATGAATTCATCTAATTTTTTTATAAACTTACTTAAACCATGTACGAATAACTGCTTTTAAGTGAATTAGCAGAAAGGTAATATGTAATAAATAAATAGGATTTGAGACTGCAGCACTTGTATTCCAATACTTCTACCTTACATAGTTCCACCTAGGGTTATACCTTAGCTGCAAACAAGCCTAATATGAAAATAACGTAGAATTTAATTTAAAATGTATATTAGATTTCAGATGAGCTACCAGAATCAGTTATCCGTTATTTGAATTTTGTGAAGAGGAGCAGCCACAATGCAGAAAAGCTAATTTTGCAAGATTTGGAAAACGATGAAATATCAAGTAAGTGAGTTAGTCAGTTTGTTCTGCTACTGGTGTACAAGTAAGTTGCTTATGTTTTACAAGAGAAACTACAGCACTCAAGCATTTTTAGAATTATTTGTAACTGAAAAGTAAGTTAGCAGTATTCAAAATATTTAAATAGACAAATGTTAATACTCGTTTTGGGTAGCAGTGGCTGTTTATCACTGTTATGGAGATTTTTTGTAAATATTAGCAGGAAAATACCTGGGAGTGCAAATTTAGGAGATTGATAGAAACCCTTGTTTAACATTGGGCCTGCCACAAATTATGCTTTGATTATTAAGATATCCTAAGTATGATTTGTATAAAACACTTACCTATTCCTTTCATTGGAATTTTAATGAGTCTTTTAAAGGTAGAATAAGCAAGCCTGAACTTGTATGGAACTTATTTTTAGTGTCAGATGTGTAATGATCCAACCTAAAAAAAAATCCTGCCCCTTTGAAAAGAAGTACTATCTTATTTATATATGTGCTAGTAGGATGTCTCACTGAAATGAGTTAGTTGAAGTTTTAAACAGTAACTTCTTCTGCAGTGTCTAAATTATAATTTCTTTATTTGCAGGTGATCTATACAAGGTAGTTCCTAATAATGCTTCAGAATGCTTGGCTGAGTTGGCTTCTGAATATAACGAAGATCCAGAAGAATTAAAGAAAAGGGTATTCTCTCTATATATATTTACTAGGGCTACTGTCACTGCTCATTCCACTTGCCAAACATGCCTACAGTCTGTGATATGTTGTGGGATCAGTGGTGTGTTGTGGGCTTGGCTTCAGTTTATGCAACCAGATGATGTGGACAAGATGTTCCTTCAGAGTGGGAGTCAGCAACTTCCAGACCATGTGAAATAGCTCCACTGGTCAGCTGCTAGGGGGTGCAATGCAGGCTGCAAAATGTGCCTTAGTCATCTGCACAGCCTCAGGGTAGGCACAGTTATGTGTGCTAACTAATCTTCATCAGGCTTTCTGCATAGCCTCTAGCTCCTCAGAATATCAAGGATCTACTTGGACTGTACGGTGCTGGAGAGGATGCTCAGAAGCAATTGTGTCAACTTCCTGTCTTAGCTTGCCATTCTGTAGTGAGACAGGACTTTGAAAAGATCACCAGCATTTTCCACTGGTCAATTCTCAAGAGCATTCAGGAACCTTGTAGGTTCTAACAGCCTCCAAGTGCTGCGCTTCCACCCTTGTGTGGAGGAATTATCACCAGGAATCTAAGGTTTATCAAACAACAGTCCAGCCATGAGAAGATCTGCTGGGGTTGGGTTGGCAGAGAAGGGTGAGAAAACTGGATTTCTCTGTTGGGTTCAGACCTGGTGGCTTCTTTCCTCAAGCCACAAAACTGGCTTCTGTACGGGGTACAGAAAATGGATGCCAGCCCTCTCACTCACCTGCATGAATTTCCTGTTCAACTTTGGCTAACATGCTTATATACATGTTATTTAATAATAATCTGGTTATTGTCTAAGATAGGTATGGGGAACCTTTGGCCGTCTAGGTGTTGCTGAACTACAGCTCCCACCAGTCCCAGCAAGCATGGCCAAGGGTCAGGAGACTTGTAGGCCAGCAACATCTGAGGGCCAAAGGTTCCCCACATCTGATTTGAAAAAACCTTAGTATTTACCATTCTCTTTTTTAAAAAAAATCCAGTTCAAATATAAGGAAATATTTTTAAATAGTTTTTTTTTAATCCACCGTGTGTGTGTATTCTTATTTCTTATTTCCCCTTGCACTAATACATAGTTCAAATATATGTTTACAGAAAAACTGTTCGTAGTGACATTCTTTTTACAAACTGGCTAGTTATGACAAAAATAAAATTTCATATGTAGAAAAAAATTCAGAATCTGATTAGATTTTGGCAGTAGAGAGCAATAACAATATAGCAGAAAATGTGACACATGTAGAGATAAGCTTACACTGATTGTCGTAACAGAAATAATTTGATAAGCTTGGTGGTTGCTCTAAACTTCCTTTAAAATTATATTTTGAATATATCTTTGTTAGAATACAAACTGTAATACAAATACAAACCTATTGTTGGATAGGAGGCTTGTCTCATATTTTGCTTGTGGCAATATGCATGTTAAAGTAGACTGCTATGCAGACATCCCTAATTCAATAAGAAGTCTTAAATGCAAGCTAGTGCTGTATTGCATTCACATTTTCTTTCACCAGTCTAGCTGTGGTTGTAAACACAAACCCCCATTCGAAAATCGGTGATATTTCTGATTAGCAGCTTAGGAGGGAAAGTAAAGAAATTTAATTCAGTTCTCCGCATTAAACAACTGAATAGTAAGGTTGCTGCTCTTACAACAAGACTCTGCACACACCAAGTTGGATTCTGGCCAATACAAGTGCTCCTAAACTTTTCATCCATAACAAATAACATCTGTTCATTACCTATATTTCTCCTACTATATCTCTTGCAATTTTGAACGATGACTAGCATAGAACATAACTGCTTCTGTGTATAGTTTGATAGTTCCAAGCTCAACTATACTATCATGAAAATATTTGTTGCTGTTTAGGTATTGTCTGAAATAGAAGATGAAGATGAAGAACAACAGATCAATGTGACTTCTGATAATACAGTAGAAGCCAATGATAATGGAGACATTGCTTCCAGTGAAATTGCTGATAGATGTTCTTTGACAGGTAAACAATCTTGTAAGATAGTGACTCACAGAGAATCACTCATCTTCATGACTTAGCTCTGGTCTCTGAGATCAATATTGTTTAGCCAGAGACTTCAGTTATTTTCCATACATGGTATGTTCTACATCTGCATGATATGAGCTATATTGTTGGTGATGCTGAAGATGAAGCAACCTCCTCTAGTGCAGAATGTTAAAATAGATTATCACAGGCAGAAAAAAAATCATACACCTGTTTTTATGGTATAGTGCAAATTCTTAAAACCACCAGGAGCTGGCAACACAGTTTTATGGGGGGGAAATAGTTTCAGTGATTCCAAGTTCTCATGCCTGCATTCTTCTAGATGATGGTGACACAGACCTTAGCTTTACTTTCCAAGAAGTTGAAGAAAGATGCAAGCGAGAATATGAGCTCTGGGAAGAAAAGCAAAATGAACTTGAAAATGAAAGAATAAAACAGCTGAAAATTAAAAAGTGCATGGAAGAAACGCAAAATGAAGAGGAGGAAAAAAGGAGGCAACTACGGCAGGAGGAACTGGAGGCTGAAA